GCCGCTGGCCCATTTCGTTCTCTCTTTATTTTTGAATTTCAGAAAAAAATTACATTTGGAAAAACAAAAACCAAAAAACACCCAACAACCTTTCTTTCTTTTTTTTAAATGGCGCTGGCCCCGGGTCAGCGAGCGGTTTTCTTTGCACCAAGATGGGCTTTGCCGTTTCCGTCGTGGGCACCCGTGGTGGCTTGATTGTCAGTCCTCTCCGGGCATTTTTGAGGCCAGGAACCGAGCGCTGCACGTAAGCGACTCGCCCTCCGGAGCGGCTGGGCGTTTCGGATTGTGACTTGGGGGGCAGAGCGCAGTGGATCGCGAGCACCGCGTGCTCTCTGCAAAACCCGCGGCGAGCCGGAGGCGGGTCGCTCCCAGGGTGAAACCGCTCCCGGGCTGAGTGAGCCCGGCCCCGTGCGCAGTGCAGCGGCCCTGAGAGCTGGTCCTGTCCCCGTCGCGCCGGGAAAATGGAGGCTGTGATCGAGAAGGAATGCAGCGCGCTTGGAGGCCTCTTTCAGACCATCATCAGCGATATGAAGGTAGGACGCCGGGGGCGCGGCTGCTCTGACCTCCCTGCGGGGCTTCCCCTCCACCTCGACTCGCCTGGCTCCACGCCTGCACCGTGGTTGCCGGCCACCTGCGGGAGCTCAGGCGGCCCGGGTGTCACCTGCTCACCCGCCGCGCTGCTCCGGCTGTGCTTGGTCACCGGGCAGGCGACTTCCCGGGGTTGTGTGTGTGTGGGGAGAGTCTGATGCCCCTTGCCAACCTCTGCGTTCCTTATCCCAGGGGGCGACACCATCTTGTTCCTTTGGGGGCTTAGGGCCCTAGTTCTAAGTTTTCCATTGTCTGTCCCTGGACTGAGTGTCTGCGACCCGTGGAAGCTGGACGCCCGGGCGGACACCTGACTCCCTGGGTTCGGGGTGGGGTGCTTGGCGCGGTGGTTGATCGGGAGTGGGGGCTCTGCCTGGCTGCCGGAAGGACTCTCCCGACCTGGAAGATTGGGTGGCAGGCTTGTTACAGACTTGGCTTTCTGGTCTACCTGAAGTAGGGGAATCTGAACAAATTAGTTATTAATTAGTCTGTTCCAGAGCTGCTGAGGGTGTGCCGTGTCTTCCCTGCACCCTCCCTTGGGCCACGGTGCTTGAAGTTCCCAGGGTAGTCTTTGAGGGACCCCGAAGCTGAGAGGCTCAAAGCGGGAAGACAAGGTTGAGGTTTCCCAAACAACTATACCCGGCTCCCTCAAACACACCCATACCCCACTCTTCTCTCGGAAGAATTTGTGTGCGCGTGTGTGCGCGCGCGTGTGTGTTGGGGGCGGGGAACAACACCCTGGCTTTTTCCTGCAAAGGGTGGGACTGGAGATAACCTGATCCTCGAATGTGGGTTTTCTGGTGCACCGAGCTACATACACCAGGACTTCTGTTACTCACACTAATGAAATAGAACCTGCTTTAGGAGCTGGCTGGAGGTGGGAAATGGGGGCGGCAGTGGGGATTTTTTTTTCCCAAGTGTATTTAGGGAGCTTCTCTTTGGCTCGAGGCCAGGCCCAGTCTGCCTCAACAGATCCGGGGAGGTGGTGTTTAATTAAAAGCTCGGCTTCCAAAAGAGTGGGCAGGTTTGGAGAGCTGTGTCGGCGAGTGGGTGTGGACAGCCCCTCTTCAGCCGCTGCCTGGCGCCCGGACAAGCTTTTGTCTGATGAACTGTAAGGTTCGGAGAGCCCTTGGGCCTCCAACATGGACTTTGGGGAGGAATGCTCAGCTGTCATGTCTGCCTCCTCCTTTTAGAACCAACTGCCACCTCGCCCAGGGTGAACTTTGCCAAGGTGCCTCGTCCTGCTCACGTCTGTTTTGCAATCCTACCAAGCTCGTGCCTTTTGTCAGAAATCCGTGTAGCCTAATCTGTAGCCAGAGCCTGCTCGTTTAGGAATGCCTCTAATCCAGTCGCTTGGAATTAGATGGATTAGTTTCTTCAAAGACAGCCCTTTCATTCCTTTGCCCTCAATCCACATTGAATTATCGAAGTGTTCTTTTGAACAAAGGTTGATGTCCACTCCTTGGACTCGGGTATTTATTGTTAGCTTAAATTTCACCCACCTTAATACAGTCAAAACAAGATTTGGTTTGAGGCACACACTGTATGTATGTTGTGGTGTGCAGAAGAGGTTTTTGAGACGGGTTGTTTTGTTGGAGTAGATAATGATGTTTCCAGTCCCTGAATAGAAACAAGGAATCCAGGGATCTAAACTGATTACTGACTTCAGGTCCTGAGTAATCATACCTGGAGTTTTCTCTCTCTCTCTCTGTTTTTTTTTGTGTTTGTTTTTTGTCTTTTTAAATCCAGAATCAGGGTGGTTTGAACCTCAAGCCCTTGCTGCTCCAGTGACTCTGCACCTTCCACCTGCCGTCTGGCTGCCTGGTGTGGGCTCTGCCTAGACGTTTGTAGGTGCTTAAGGTGGCTTCCCCGAGAGCAGTTGTTGGAAAACCTCTTATGTACTGCTTCCTCGGTGTTGCCTCTAGTTCCTTTCTCTCTGTCTTTGATAGGTTTGCTCACTATCCCATGGGTAAACACCCCCCCCAATATTTTCGTATCAAGTGGAAGATTACGTTGTGCTTTGGATTCTGAACAATTATAGACTTTGGGGAAGCAGAGGGGTCAGTAATTAACACAGATCGTCCGATTTCTTCCTAAGATTGTTTATGCGCTTAGGGAACGGCTAAATATTTTCACTGAGTTTTCTTTAGAAGACGTCTTTATGGGTTGGTCAGCAATGACACTTGAAGAGTAACAAGATGAAACTGGACTCCATTGGCTCAGCCGCGTAGGATGTGTGGGCATGTGGCGTCAGCAAGAAAGTCAGCTTTGAATGTCAGCTGTCATTCTGATGACCTTGTCCTTCTTGTCTTTGAACTTATGACCAGCTTGTGTTTTTGGTCCCCTGTTTGTTTGTTTGTTTTGAGGGAGAAGACAAGTTGGATTATTATCTTGGTACCATGTTTAGGTTTGTTTTTTTTTTAAGTAATATTGAACTAGGGTGAGCAAAAGGCTAAGACCGTGGTTTTTTTGAGTAACATTTGAGACTTCACGATGTCCAGCAACACAGGAAGGGCGTCAGTTTCCTTTTGGAGAAAATAAAAAGATAACGGAAAGTGGAATAATTTCTTATTCCTCTGGCCTGGTGCCACCTATCTAAAAGTAAAGACCCCCAAGACATGGGAAAGCTTGGGCGAATTCTTTGCTTTCTGCAGAGTCTCCATTGGGCTGACTTCTGGGCTGTCGGGGCTGGGTGTTTATCCCTTTCAGGAGTGGGGGGAGAAGAAATCCTCACTTTGCTTCCACTGGGATCAAGCTCCAAGAAAAGCAGGCAGCAGCTGCTCAAAGACTTATTGATTCCTTGATGAGAGGAAACCTCTGTTTCTCCCTTTCCTTCCACCCTGCCATGGCTGTGGTCACTAATGAACGGCGGTGTGCGAAATCACTTATGGGCTGTGGTCCCCGGGATCCACGTAAATCACCCTTGGAGCTGCCTGGTGGGAATTAGCGGGGAAAGGAAAGGGAACTCAGCTTTTTGTGTTGCTTCTCGGAGGGGCTGTGTTTGGTTTATCTATGGGACAGTGGTCCAGAGGTGACTGCTGACTGTCAAGGAGGTCCTAGAATATCTTTTTTTGTTTGTTTGTTTTTTTTATTTCTACTCAAGTTCTGGGCATAATTGGCCCTTGGTAAGGTAAACAGATTAGTGTTGTTTGTTTTGAATCATTGAGCAGAATTTGATCATGTTCCGGTAGTTGCTAAGTCCCAGAGACTTTGCTAGCCAAATTTGAGAGTATCTCACCCTCCGGGAATAAATAACGGTCTTCTTTTAATAATTAACTTTTTTTTTTTTTAAGTTGGATGCTAGAATCAAATATTTCCTTGTCCTTGCTGCTCACACCAGGATGCTAGGAGCCTAGTTGGCCCTGCTGCGGGGAGAACTTTGCCCTGGGTTCAGTTTTATATAATATGACTAGGCTGAAAAATACCCAACTGCACCTGAATGCGCCCTTCCATGTGTCGCTTTAGACCCGGGTGTCCTGTTACAGGCACCTGTGCTGAGCAGAATAGGGGCCTTGTTCAGTTTCTCCCGGCTGCCCCCACCTCTGCCTGCCACCAGGATCCTCTGTCTGAGGTTCCGTCTAAGATTTGAGATGCTCAAGGGACATCTTGAATTCCATGGGAATCTTTCTGTGATTCAGAGGCACGTGAGGGAGTATTTCCCCTTACTTACCATGAGGTGACAATGGGGTCTACTGCTGTGTGGTGACTTCAGGGCTGCCCTTTTAGTTGTTGCGGGGTCCTGTAGGAAGAGGGATTGCTTCTTAGGTCTTAGCTGAGACCTCCTGGGTAGAAGGCCTTTTGCTAGGCCCTGCCCTTGCTCCTTGTGCTGATAGCAATATGGCTGTGAGGACAAGGATGGGTTGCAGTTTGGTCAGGGAAAGGGCGTCTTGTCTTTTTGGACTTCTTTTTCAAAATACTTCAGAATGAAAGTTTTTCTGTAGTAAGATAATGAAAAAAACACCCAGTCAAGTGACCAAGGAGGGAAGTGGGACACTCTGGGTAGAGGCTGACAGCCACACAAAGGCAGGATGAGCAGAGCCCTGGGAAGGACAGATGGGCCCCATGTTGGCTTTTCTCTTGGCAAATGGTGGTGTTTGGCCAGGGTTTTACAGCTTCCTTATTTTGGGCCTGTGGGAGAAGAAGGTAAAGATGTCATAAAATTGGCAGAGGGAGCTGCCTAGGGAAAGTGCCTCCTTTGGTCTCTTCTATGGGAGCAGTCTTTTAGGGGTTTGGGGGTGTGAATCTCTTCTTGATGTATTTTGGAAATATGTCATTTGGAGACTTACCTTAGCATTGCTGTGGGGAAAACCCTTACATATTCTATTAGATAAACTTGTTTAGAACTTGTGGCTTGATTTCCTGAAACCTCACTGCTTGGAATTCTATAATTCATAAAGGCCCCAGTAGAGGAGGAGGCTGTTTCCAGGTCATACCTCACAGGGGAGGAAGGCTGAGTTGAGCTCTGTTCTAGTTTAGCAATCACCCACCTGTCCAGAGTCGTGTGTTCTTTTCCGCGGTGTTTTATCATCAGCCGTATTGGACCACCAAACTCTCTATGGTGTCAGTCATACTATGTCAGCAAGCCAGCCACCGTCTCTCTAGCTCCATCCGCATCCCGCGTAAACAGTGAACACTCAGTATAAGCATGGCCTGCCTTCCACAGGCCCTGTCTTCCCAGGCCTGCCTGTCTGCCTGCTTGTGACCTCTTCTATCTTATCTTGGGCGGTAAAGAAATAAAGGAGAAAGGAAAAAAATCATACCCATCAGTTTGGCCAGCTCACTTGAGGTTTCTAAAATGCTCGGAGGGTGGAAAGGTTGAAACTATTGATCCAGTAGATGCTTTATCGTCTATATCTAAGCTGTTTGCATAGGATTGGTGAGAGCTGGCAGGGTTCCTTCTGTGAGGAGACCATTTAGAGGTTCCCACTGGGAAATGGGAAAATGAGATCATTTTGAATTCCCCATTACTTTTTGAAATCGCCTACAGGACACTTTCCCACTAAACCCACACACCTCCACGAAAAGAAAGAAACTCCTTTCCCCAGACCGAATGGAAACCAAAGGACAGATTTTGGATTTAGCCATTCAGAACACCAGGAGGACATATTTGGGGCTCTTAACTGGAACTGGCTGCTGTCTTCAGCCATTTAATTCAGATTTGCAGATTGTATGACCGATACGGCCTTATTAAATAGTAGATGGAGAGACAAACAGTAAATTAATTGGCGGAGCATTCAGGAAGCCTATTGTGTTCGATTGCCGAGACTCTCCCTTAAATTAGCTGCACGCTGCAGCTTTCTTCTGAGTGTCTGTCACAAAAGCAAAGCAAGCCCCACGGCCCCCAGCCAGCCCTAGTACAGAATCTACCCTGAAGTTGTGTACCCCACCTCTCAGCCCCCTTGGAAGGCCTTGGGGTGACTCGTTCTTCACCTCAGCCCAGTGTGATTAGACATGGCCTTGTTTTCCCCATTGTGCAGTTTTGAGGTTTTTGATTGTTTGAGATGCTGTGCCATGCCACCTGACGCATAGTAGGTGCTCATTATTCATTGCATATGGTGCATAGTGGGCAGGAAGGGACTTGGAGAAGAACGTCTATGTGCCAGACTTGTACTAAGTGTCAGGTATGCGTGAGCTGACATTCATCCTCACGCTCGCTGCGCACACTCTGCAGATGAGGAAACCGAGGCTTGGGGAGCCCACAGTGAGATGGAATTGGTATTCAGATCGTGTCCTCTTGGGCCCAGAGTGGAGCTCTTTAAGAACTTAAGGTATGGGGACGGGCGTGGATATATATTTCTAGAAGATAGCGCTTTATTTGCCCGAACCCACAGGAGGATCACAGACAGAACTAGGACCTTCTCTGAACTGGAGGAGTGGACTTGAACCAGGATGCTGTGGGGTGGGTGTCTCTCACACCGCTGTTACCTCTAGGGTTTACTTTATGGACTAGGAAGAGGTGGTGCCTGACCTCCTTTTTCCTACTCATCAGTCTTGCCGGTAGACGTTGCTAGGCCCCATTCCTGTGACTCATGCAGAATGGTGAAGCCTTGGGGAGCTGGGCGGCAGGCTCTTGAGTGCCTCCCTGGGCACTTGTCCTTGTCCAGGCACAGAGCTTCTGGGATCTCCGCACTGGCTTGGGTCTGGAGTCGAGGTGTCTGAGGCTGGACTACACTCTTATAATCATATGGATTAGTCAGGTTCACCCAAAGTTCATATGACTCCTCGGCGCGAACGCCTTACCTCAAACTCATTTTGTGTCCAGCCCCGGAACACGCCTGTAAAAAGAGCTTTCTGTGTTTAATTACGTCCTGGTAGCCCTTCAGTTTGGGCTATGTTGGTAGAGAACCCTTAGAAACATGTTTAGATGGGGTCCCCAGAAAACTACCTTCCTGCTCTAATTCTTGGCATACACGGCCTTGGTCAGAGTCCTTAAGGGGCTTTTCTTTTCCTGTCTTGTTTAAGTGGGAAAAAAAAACAGTCGAGTACTTTTTGAGCTGCGTGTCTTTTTATTTGATTTCTTTGCCTCAAAGAACAGCCAGGAGTGGAAACACTGACTTGGTCAGTGCTGAGAGCTCCTGGAAGCTGGAGGTCTGGAACAGATACTGTCTGTGACTCTCTCCCTGCCAACCTGCCACATGACAGGGCTCTGCAGGGGCCGGAGAGTGGGTCTGACCAGAGTAGGAGGTCTGGGCATGTGTGCCCTTTGGCTGATGGGCATGGTTACAGTAAAGGCTCCCTGAGTGCCCCGGGAGACTCGGTGCCCCGGCCCTGCTCCCAGAGTCTCTGAGTCAGGACTTGGGGCGGCACCTTAGCTGTTAGGATGTTGGAGGCACCAGGTAACCGGGGATGGAGCATCACTAAGCTGTTGGGCGTCCCCCTCGCAGGGTTAGAGCTCCCTCACGGTGCCTTCTTGATCTCACCCAAGCATAAGAAGAGTCCATTTAGATGTTTGCACTAGGATGTAAATAATCTTGATATCACCTAATTTAGTTCTCAAGATAGTCAAAATGGAGCTGGGCAGTGGTGGTGCATGCCTTTAATCCCAGCACTCAGGAGGCAGGCAGATCTGTGTGAATTTGAGGCCTGCCTGGTCTGCAGAGCTTGTTCCAGGGCAGCTAGGGCTGTTGTACAAATAAACCCTGTCTTGAAAAACAAACAAACAAAAAATAAAATAAAAAAATTCAGCGAAATGCTAAATAATTCCAATAAAAGTCAACAAGAGTATATCTAGAATTCTTGGCAGACTTTTACTGATCTAATATGCTCTGCTGCAGTATGAAAGTTATTATACATTAGCTACCGGACACACATTTTTAGTGTGGCCAAGGAACTGAGTTTTAGCTGAGTGGGGTGGTCCAGTACTGTAATCCTGGTATCTGGGAAATGGAGGAGGAGGACCAGAAGTTCGGGTCTTGACTACTTTGTGGTCTGAGTGGTTTGGGACTCAATCTCCCAAAACAAAAACAAAGCCCCACAACTAAAAGTAACAGTAACAAATGTATTCTTTTAGTTATTCAAATAGCGGTGAGTGCCTTGCCTTACAAACAGCATGGCTTCCTGCCTGTCTTCTAGCCCTTGCTAGTCAGGATATGACCCTTGTAGATGACATTCTGTGGATGGGGCACACAGGAAGCTGAAGGAAACCCTGCCGCCAAGTTTCCCTGTCTCTAGGAGTCTCGGTTTTCTTTTCTATAAAGTGGCTATGGTAAGATGCCTGACTTGGAGGTTCCTCATGCAGATTCTAAAATGAGGTGTTTTCCTGTGGAAGGCTCCCCTCTTGCCTGGTGCACCGGGCCCAGGTGGTAGGCGCTGTGCCCTGTAGTTTGGGAAGGGAATTAAGATCTAGGAGTCCTTATCTCTGCTGCTTCGAACAAACCCTGTCTCACTCTTTCAGGAACCGTGATAGAGCCTGTGATGGAGCTTCTTCACTTCTGGAAGTGAAGAGTGTCGGGGTTTTTGGGTTTTCTTTCTTGCCGAGTGAAGTAGCCCCAAGTTCATACTAGTCCTCTGGTCTGCCTGTGTTCTGTTTTCCCACATGCACACCCCACCAACTGTTCGTAAGAGGAGGGTGGGCTGAGAGGAGAGAAGTCTACTGGTGGAGGAGAAAGAAGGGGAGGGGAGGGGAGGGAGAACCTATGTTGCTGGGCTATCTTTTGTGGCCCCCTCAGTTTTCTGAGTGAACACCACCTGTCTCTCATGACCTCTGGCCCTGCCTGTGTCCAGTATTGAGTACACATGGAGCCTCCGCCCCCTCCCAAGACCTGGTCCTATTGGGCTTCTCCCTGCTTGTCTTCCCAAAGCTGCCCTCTGGCCTGAGCTTGGTTGACAACAAGGCTCACACTATACTTGGCTCCAGCTGATTGGGCCCTGTGTGTCCTGGGCGCCTGACACCATGGCTCCTCACTTCCTGCCCCATCTCCTGCCTGTTGAAATCATTCTCATACTTCCAGGTACCACAGGGAAGGGTCCTCTTCTCAGACCACTCCTCCTAAGAATGGTTCTGTGAGGACATCCTTTATAGTCTACCAAATAGCTACAATTTATATCATCGAAATCTTTGAACTTTAAAGCCAGGTTCTGCCCTTTCTTGACCTCATTATGTTGGGCAAATTATTGTACTTTTTCTGGGTCTTGATTTTTTTTTAATTTAATTTAGTTTTTTACTCTGTATAATGGGGTGAAGGGACAATACTTACCTCAAGGATTAAAAGAAGAAGTAGATGTCAATGGTTTGGTGTGAAATACCTGGCCAACGAACGCCCTTCTGTCTGTCCGAGCTCCCTTCGGCAGTTTCAGGCGTCTGCAGTCTGCAAGTCCAAAATCTGAAACTCCGTTGGGCATCAGTATGTGATTCCCCGAATTCCAGATTTCAGGACATTTTAGGCTTGGAACTTTTAGATTTGGGAAGTCTATGCAAACTTAAATTAAAACTCTGACATTTGGAATCAAGTCTTGTCTCAAGCAGTTGTATGTGCATGCGCACACACACACATGCACACACACATCAGAATTCCTTGCTGTTAGGAGTAGCACTCATGTCTGGGAAAAGTAAAAGATCACTCTGGATTTTGACGCTGCATGCCATGTTGTCTTGTTCACTTTCAACATTCAAGTAACTTTCAAGAGCAGTATGTGTCTTCTGCAATCTGATGATGTGCGTGGGGCATGCTGGGCATGGCTGGCTGGGAGAGATGAACCTGTGGCTGGCCTGGTCCGGGAGTTCTTTACAAGAGGCGCAGATAAGACATCAGCCTTCACTGTTGCCACACTTCCAGAAGTCAACACAAGAGTTGGTGGGGGTGTCAAGGAGTGTCTCTGATTTCCACTTGGGGTGGGAAGACATTCCCAGAATGCCTTTGGTCTCGGTGACACCCAACTGACAACCGAGTTTCTCTTCACTTGTGCAGTAAATATTTCTGTGGTCAGAACTGCCAGGCAGTACATGTTTGACACTTGAAAACTGATTTAATTTCCCAACGACCCAGTTGGGAAGACACTGCTGTCATTCTCATTTTATAGATGGGGGAGCAGAGGCGCTCAGAGGCTTAGCCATCTGTGTAGTAGGTGAGAAGTGGAGCCCAAAGTTAGGCCCAGGCAGTGTGACATCAGCTCCAGGACTGTGCTCTGTGTGCCACGCTAGGTTGTCCCTCGCAGTGTGACATTTCAGAATTTTCCGTCATATTCTGTGGTGGGTGCATTTCATCCATCCCTTCGATGGTTTCAACTGTGCCCTCAGGATTCTGAATATATCACACACAGAATCTAGATTTATCCCTGGGCTGCTTCAAGAGCCTTTATGGGATAGGGTGGTGGGGTGAGGAGATGACTCGTCAGGTCAGAGTGCTGCCTGTGCAAACTTGAGGACCAGAGTTCAAATCCTAACACTTTGAGGACCAGAGTTCAAATCCTAACA